TCACCAGGGGAGCAGCTAATGATGACATGAAACAGAGCGGTTCGACAGGCCAGGGGAGCCTCTCCCGCTTTCTGTCCACACATCAATCATAAGCATGGCTGTGTTGAGTGAAAAGTGTAAAACAAAAATTTCTATTGAAAGATATAAACATAGGATTAATTTATCTCTGTAAATTACCTTCAAGGGAGAATTAGCTAAGAATCTTAAACATAAATTTGCATTAAGAGCATGTCCAAAGGGGGGGAAATTAAGTAAAAACCATTTTTCATGGCAGCCTTGAGCACCATCGGGTTGGGCTGGGAGACTTCCGCAAAAGTCAGGGACAAAGGGATTCCCTTGCAGAAGATGTGGACTTAGATTCTAACGCTAGTTCCTGGAAACTTTCTTCCCAGACTATTTCAAACATGGGGTTAAAAGGAGAGTCAGCTTTACAGATCTCAGAATTCCCCAAGACACATGACAGCTCATCCTCCCAGGGTCCTAGGAAAGAGGCTTGGACTTGTCCTTATCATCCTGGCCATGCCCAGGCCTGATCCGTCCTTCTCCCTCTCTCTGGTCTCTTTTGTTTTCTGGGTAATCAGAAAGGGGTTTTGGAAACACAATATCAACGTAAGTGAATAAAATACCATCCTTACCCTTTAGAAGTTTTCAGTGCAATGAGCATGGTGATAAGGTGTGTGTGTGTGTATGGTACAAAGAAGGTGTTATATATTCGAACACGTGTATTCTAACACAAGGTGGTGCTGGGGTGCTGGAAGGTGAACTCAGGTCATGGAGGGGCTAGAATCCCATGCTAAGAACACATTTGGGGGAGAAAACGTAGGTCTATCCTCAGATCCTGGCTTTGTTTCTAGTTTGGAGACTTCAAGCAAATTACCTAATATTTCTGTCCCAGAGTTTTCCCATTTGTTAAAATGGGCATAATGATACCTACCTGAACAGTTTTGCAGAGAGTCACAATGTTTGTGAATCATTTAGTATAACTGCTAGCTTTTTGTTGCCACTCAATAGTGAGAATTATTGGTGGTTTGAGGAAGAGAAGTGGCTGAATGGATTTGAGTTTTCAAGATGTGATTTTGGAAGCTGAGACTGGAAGAATGGGCGGGGTGGAGGGGCAGGGTGGGGTGAGGTGTGGAGATTAAGAGCTTTGGGAGGCCAGAAAGGAGTCTGGGGCAACAGTCTGAGCAAGAGAAGGCAAAGGGATGGACTAGAGAAAAGTAATACCCATTTAGGTGGCACAATGAACTTCCTGACTACTGAATACAGGAGACAAGGGAAAGAGCTTTCTAGTTGTACAATTCCACTACCCTGGATATGTGACAGAGGAGGTGGGGCTTTGGGGAGATGGGAGGGAGGAGTGGGAGGCAGAAGGGAGAAAAAGGAAGCAGAACCTCTTAGGAAAACCAGAGCGTCTTGTTGTCCTGTGAGTGTGTGAGATAGGAGCAAGAAGGCTCTACCTACACCCTGAAGAGTATCAATCTTAGGGTCACCAGGACAGGTCTTGCATTCAGAACTCCCCCCTAAGCAGGCACTGCTGAAGAAATCCTTTCTACCTTGCATCCCGTGCACTTGACCTTCTCCTTCTAAGGCACTCCTCAATGCAGATCTACAGATAACCTCTAAGAGTCCCCAAAGGCCAATTGCCCTGGTCTCAATCCACTACTCAACCTCCTCCCCTGCAGTTTTCCACAGAACTGAATCAGCATCTACAGATTTAATCCCAAGTTGTTCTCAAGTACAATTGTTTTTACTCTGTAGTTACAGAACATCTTTGAGGTCATTTCCTGGTGCTGTATCCAGAAGTGGCAGATGGAAAAACACAATGACAAAGGGAAACACAACTCTTTGCTTTACTTCTCTTCATGAGGAGGTAGCAGTCACTGGCCTTTGGTGTTTGAGACTTGAGGGACAATCAGAGACTTGTCTCTACCATGGCAAGGGAAGGAGGCAGCAGCGTATACTTGGTGCTGTTAGCACCACATACGATGTTTGGACACAGTTGGTAGTTCACATGGGAACAAAGTAAGTGGAAATCTTCTTCAGTTGCAAAACACTTAGGACAAATTCTTTACTCAGGGGTGGGTGGGGAAGAGGATGCCAGAAGGCCTTAGAGTTGAAAAGGAGTCAAGTGAAGACAACCAAGAAAAGGGAAGCTGGCACCCAGGATCAGCCGTGCTGGCACAATGACACAGCCTCGTGTGGTCTCTGTTGACAGCACATTTAGTGTGCTAAGAGCTTATGTCCTAGAATCGGACAAGTCCAAATTCAACCCAGGTTCTTTACTAATTACATAAACAAGGCCAGATTTTTTTCTTGTGGGGGGCCTTCACTACTTTGTTGGTAATACCGCCCCTAAAAAGGCTTTCACCACATTTTGAGGTAAAAGATTGGCAGCAAAAGAAGATTTAGCGGTCAGAAAATGTCATCCTGTCTATTTATCTGTCTGTCTACCCATCTGTCTACATAGCTGTCCGTCCATCCATCCATCCATCCATCCATCCATGTTAGTTTAAGTTGGAGGTTAATATTACTGTTCTTGTTGTTTTCGTAGTAGAATTGCCAGTGCTCACGATGGTTACTAGCACATTGTCAGCCCTCAGCATATGCTTATTGGCTGAAACAGCTACACGGTCTGTGAGCTTTCTATGGGAAACGAATTCCTCCTCCAGTCTTTCCTAAGTCTATGGCACCACCATCTGCCCAGACTTTTAATTCCCTGATTTACTGAGAACCTACTATACTCTAGGCACCCTGGAGCGCCTTGATAAGCTAGACACAATGATAGCTCTCAAAGATGCTGGAGAAAAAGGAAGCAGGCGAACTTCGTTCAACTCTCTGCTCATCTTTAGGTATAGCTTAAGTGGGGCATTTTAAGTGTGCTTTGACAAGAGTTGGACAAACATGTAGAGATACTTCTAATCCACCACCATCTGGATTGAGAAAAGGCCAGCAATGCTGTGCAGTTTTTCCCTGGGTATAGGTAGGGTATGTGAATGCCATACTTAGAAATTCCCACTATTCGTGAGAACTAGGAAGGAATAATGCTTGTTTTGAATCCTACTAGGATTATCCCAGTCCAGCCTCTCTCTGTAGATGAGGTAAATAATCAGAAATAAGAATTTAAAAGGCACATGGGAAAATGACTCGGGGCAAAATTTTTTTGGAAGCCAATTTACAGCTGAGTGAGCCAGCTTATTTCTACCGAGTGTGGGCTGCACTTTATATATCTCTGTCTATATATAAAGAATGATTTCAAAAAATTCTGTGACTCTTTGGCTTAATCGTGAGTCATAAGGCTCCCATTTTAGAGTGTGCATGTGTGTGTGGTATGCGTGTCTGTGGAAGGAGAACGTCGAGCACAAAGCACGGATGTTTAAAAAAGTGTGTGGAATACGAGTCTAAGAAGTTTTATGGGTTCTTTTATGCAAGGGGAGCATATGTGAGGAGAAATTGTGTTGTGTGTGTGTATAAGGCACAGGTGGTGGTGGTGGTGAGCAGAATTATATGAGCAACCGATCTGTCAGAGGTCCCGCCAGTTGTATAAGATACAAAGTGCTGTAGGAGGTGATTGTTTTCCTTTCAGAATAGCACATAGGTCTTTGAGGAGCCCTTGACTTTCTCCTTCCTCCTTGTCTTGTTAAAAAGGGATTACAGTCCAATTAAGCCATTTAATCCCAAGGTAGAAATTCATGTTTAAAAACAAGATTTACAGCTTCTTTATAAAAATACATCAGTGCAAGTTGAGGTTTGTCCTTTCAAGTTGCCACCTGCGTGGCTCCAAAGAGTGTTTTCAGCTGAATACCCAACCCGCAGTTCTTCTTAATTCCCTTGTCTCAGCTCTCTACTGCTTCATCTTTTAAAGGACCCTTCAACCAAAACAGCCTCATGCTGTTAGAAATACTTCAGCTCCTTGGCCCATTAATATATGGTTGGCAATTTCAGTGGCCAATAACAGCGGTATTAAGAGTTAGTGCCAACCTGGTGCTTGGTATGTGCATCATGGCGCTAAGCACTGTCCATCTTATGAGGCCCACGTGAAAACACTCAGGGCTGGCTTCATGGGTTTGTGACATGGATAGTCACAAATTCACTTGTTTTAATGCTTTGCCCTTGCCATCTTGAAATTCTTAGGGTTTTTTATTGGAGCCATGACGTGATCATAGCTCACAGCAACATGGAACTCCTGGGCTCAAGTGATCCTCTTGCCTCAGTTTTTCTATTTTTAGTAGAGGTGTGGTCTCACTCTTGCTCAGGCTGGTCTTGAACCTCTGAGCTCAACTAATCCACCTGCCTTTGCCTCCCAGAGTGCTAGGATTACAGGTATGAGCCACTGTGCCTGACCCATCTTGAAATTAATTATTTTTGTGCGAGAGATTTGCATTTTCATTTTGTACGGGGCCCCACAAATTATGTATGTAGGCAGTCCTGAGAACACTCAATAACTCATGGGTTCTTTTTGTTTCTTTTGCCTTCTTTCCACTTGATGCCTAACATATTGTCAGAGAATGGGATAGTGAATCTCAAACTGGGATGATGAAATCCTCTCTGGGAAATGCATGTCATTGTCTCTTTGGTGGGAAGTTCTCTAAGGGACTGGAACCAAGTTGTGGTACTTAGCAAAGGAAAGAAAAATACCTGTGAGAATTTGGTGTTAGGAAGGAAGGAAGGAAGGAAGGAAAAGAAGAAGGAAGGAAGGAAGAAAGGAAGGAAGGAAAGAAGGAAGGAAGGAAGGAAGAAAGGAAGGAAGGAAAGAACCCCTTTAAGTCTCAGTCTCCTCAACTATAAATGGGGATAATAGTAATAATACCTACCTCACAGGCTATTCAAGGATGAAACGCAATCACGGAAATATAGCTCTGACATGCCATACACACACCATGACTTGTTACTAGTGTATTATGTGTGCTTAGCAAGTCCTAAACATCAAATATGCCTTGAGACACGGTGAAGGTCACTCACTCAACTCCAAGGTGCCCATATCCCAGGGATTTCTTCCCTACCTGCCCTGCAGAGCTGGGAGGAACATCCGCTTGCTGGGAGACCACAGAGGGGTTGCTGGAGCTGATCAGCACCGGGGTGCTGATCTCTACCATGTGACGCCCCGAAGGAGAATGGACCATCCTGTTGAGAGTGTTCAAGGCTGTTGTGATGGAGAACTGCCCGGGCCCCTTTCTCCTGGATCCTGGGCCCCTACGGATGGTGGGCGTGTTGCCTCTGGAGGACGAGGACGCCAGAGACAGATTTTTTGTGCGGGATGACTGACGACCTTTGTTCTTCTCCAGGAGGTGTCTTGCGGTGAAGTTTGGCTGAAAAGACAAAAGGTCCGATGCCAAGTTAGTCTTCCTGATCTGATGCAAGCCGCTAAGTCCTACCTGGGTAGTCTGAAGCCATCAGATGCCACCTTCTCAGGCAATGGTTCAGGTGACCATTTCTTGGTCAACATAATAACAGCTTCCATCTGTTATGTCCCATCACTATGTCCCAGTCACTTTGGTCTATCAATAAATATCCCAAACTTTCCTGCAAAGTAGACATTACTTTTCCACCAAGGTGCAAAGAGGATAAAAATAAGCCACGATACTCTTTCCTGGCTGGGAGTATTCTTCCTTTTCCC